TAAAAACTAAATAAGTAGATGATGTATATGAGTTTCTTTAGGAGTTACTAAAATTTTGATGTAGAAATATAGTAGTCCAATTTAGAAAAATATTAATAAATGAGACCAACTTAGAATTTAGAAATTTTTAATGTTAAGAAATATAAAAATATGAGTTTCTATCTAGTTCAGAAATATTTTGGATTCTCCAAATATAGAATTTAGGCATTCTATAATCTCTACTTAAAATTTTTTATTAATCATAATCTTACCTACCATATTATATCCTTAAGCTTAAGAGTTTGTCAAGTTTTATAATTTAAAAAATCAGATGTGGAACCAATTTTTAATTAGGCACTAATCCTCAAGCTTCTCCTCCCTTTTTCAACTTTTCTTTTCTTTTCTTTTTCTCTTTTTCTTTTTCTTCTTTTTCTTTTTCTTCTTTTCTTCTTTTTCTTTTTCTCTCTTTTTTTTCTTTTTTAGGCAATGATTACTTTATCTTGATAAGTCTTAATGATTTTGAATTTCATTCTTACTTTCCTAAAGCAAAGAGTTGAAATATTTACTTTACTTGAAAACATAATAATAGTTTTTCAAAATTAATTTTAATAAAAGAAATTTAAGTTTTGAAAATAAAAATCTAATTTTCAAATTTTTCAAAAATACAATTTCTCATACTAAATACTTAGCATTTTCCACACTAAAAATTTTTAAGTTTAAGTTTTTTTCATTACTATAAATTTTAACTAAATTTTAACTAAATTCTTTTACTCATTTCTATTTTCAAAATTTTACTTCCTTATCATAACTTCATATACATGATCATTTTTCTTCAAATCAAAATCAAATTTATTTGAAAAACATGTAAGAACAAATAAATTTCAAGTTTTTAGAAAATTTTTCATCTCTCCCCCAAACTTAAATTTTTAATAGAATAAAACAAGTTTAGCATTAGATAATTACATAGGCAGGAATGAAAACTGTTAGGAAAAAAAAAGTAAAAATAATATACCCTAAATATGAAGTACAAAATTAAAAATATGAGTAAAAATTTAATTGATCAAATTTTAATTCACTTAAGATGTAGAGATTCATTGGACTTCTATGCAGTGGAGTGGAACTGATCAACTCTTGAGAACACAAAATCTGCCAAAAAATAGTAGCCAACTATGCCATTTATATTTTAATAAATGAGTTTGGTTGCATGCAAGTGAGATAGGGGAGGGTTTGATACACAAAAGTAAAAGGATTGAGGGGAAATTACAAGTTGATATTTTAGATCAAATAGCCCAAATGTGATATAAATTTAACTATTGCAATATTTTATGCCTTTTAAATGTTCATTTAACTAACACTTATTTGATTTAGGATTTAGTGTGTGAAGTATATTACATAAAATATATGTCTTGAATTTTAAAACATAAAAAACCACACCCAACCACGTACACACTTGCACATGTGTGTGTGTGTGTGTGTGTGTGTGTGTGTGTGTATGTGTGTGATCTAAGGTGATCATTCTCACAACCTAGATACCCCCTTATATGTTTTAGGTGAAAAGCCTATTATGTAAATGAAATGATATGCAAACATAACGGGTTAATTATTTCTAAAATTTTAGTTCATTTTATTGGTTTTTTTTATTAGGGATTTAGTTTGACTTATTTCAAATTATTAATTTTTTTTATTTCAATTTTTAAGTAAGGTGGAATATTTATTTTGTCCTAATAGCCTAACATTTAAAAATAGGCTTTATCATAAGCACAAGCAAACTTAAAAAATCCTATGAATATTAGTTTTAATGTGTAAAAATGTAAACAGAGAAGAAATAATCATATTAGAAAATAATAAAAAAAAGGTTAATGCAGCTTGGTATCGCAGTACACCATTGAAAAGTAAAATGCAATTGAATTTTATTTTAGTCAACCTAATTCTAGAAATTAGAATGACATGTGAGTCATCTTTGTTCTCCTTCATCAATTTATCTTATGTCTTAGAATTATCTCGATGTAAAACTTTCAGGCTATATGAGACATCACTAAACCATGTAGTTTATCGCTGCTCCTCTTAAGTCCCCTGAGCCTTATGCCTATGTTTAATTCAAAAAATATATATATTTTTAAATTCTTGAAGAAAAACTTACGAAACTTGTAAAATAGATATTAATAAGCAAACCATATAAGCAAGAATGTATAATCACTTATACAACTTAGCATTAGTAGAAGCAATGTTGAATGTCCTATTAGGTCATACTCAAAGGCATATGCATGGATCAACATCTAAAATCAAATTGTTTTAATTTTAAGTTACTTTATTATTTAGCTTGTCTCACTAAGCACAACCACTTACATAAGACTATAGTTCAAATTATCATAAAAGTCACATTAACGTGTAGTATATCAACCAATCAATGGACCTACCATCCAATTTAGCGAGCAAAATATCATGTCACAAATAAATATTCACAATAATCAATCATAATAAACAATTGTTACCACTCTAGCCTAAATTTAGGCTAATGGACTAGTAAACATTATAGTGTGTAACGCTTGTAGGGTATGCCTTTAATTGATTTAATGTTTTAATTTAATTTAATTTTTATAAGATTTTTATTTGTGTCATTTATGTTGAAGTTAATTTAAGAGCGAGTTTTAAGTTTTAAATTGATTTAAATTTGAAATATATTAAAGATTCTGAAGAGCATTGGGGCTAATGGGAGCCACCTAAAGAGGGTGCTATCACTCCTAACACCCTAGCCCTAATATGATGGACACCTCATCCAAGAGGCAAGGAGTCACTTAAAATGTTAAATAAGTAGGTGTAAGTGCCTTAATTTTGTTACTTGATTTAATTTAATTTTAGTTAATTTTATTTTAATTTAGTTTTAATTTATATGTAATGTTTATCATAATTTTAATGTTTATTTATTTTGAGTCAATTAATCTTCAAACGTACATGAGAATGATCCAATTAGTTAAGAATGACTTTAAGGATAGATCATATGAGTTTAAAAGTTAACTCGTACTATTATTATCAGTTAATTAAATTTAAATTAATTTAAAATAAAAAAAATTAAATAATTATTAAAATAATTGCCAAAAATTAAGGAAATTTTATGTGTGGCTATTGATGACCAAAGAAGAAATGTATAGAAAAACTTTAGGACTACTTAAATTAATTATAGTTTTTAATTAAATTTTAATTAATTGCTTGCTAGAATTAAAATTTTAAATACTACACATTTTTTTTTAAATTTGTTAATTTTCTTAAAGTTTGAGAAGACAATTGGAACCCTGTGAAACTTTTTTAGATTTATTTAAATTATTTTTATATAATGTTTATTTTTCAAAATAATTATTTATTTTATTTATTTAAATTATTTTTTATATGATATTTATTTCTTTTTTAAATATTAAAATAATATTTAAGGCTTATGAATGTTTTTTTATTGAGTCACATGTGACTTAAAAACCTCCCATAAAAATTTGAGATGACTTTGAATTAACAAAAATGTTATAAATTTTGTATTTATTTAAATAGTTTTAAAATATACTTAAATCTAAAATTTTAAAAATGATCAAAATAGTCAATGGTAGCGTTTAGGATCCTAAAAAAATGTTGGAATCATTATGTTAATTATTTTTAAAATTATTATTGAGCTCACTTTTGATGATAATAAATGATAATTAAGATTATTTTTTAGTGAGCCCCATGTAATCATCTTCAACCCTAATGAGTGTATAATTACACAAAATAATTTATTTTTATTTCATTTAAGCTCAAGATGAAATAATGATTTTGGGGTGTTTTCTTAGAGATATGGAGAGACAAGCTTGCACTCTAGAAGTGCTTATTTGAAGGCTAGGATAGATCTGAATATGCCATTGAAACCAAAGTGAGGTAATTTATGGAGGAAGGGGTAGCACAGAGCATTCCTTATTCTATATTCATCCTCTTATTAATACTTTATTCTATTACTCTTCTCTTCTCTTATGTGGTATGAGATCACTAACTACTTAGGATCCAAAAAATATATATATATTTTTTTATTGTTGAAAAGAAATGGTCATAGGCTATTATACTAGCCTCCAACCACCCCTAATATGCCTAACAGTTCGAGTACCATCTCATTAAGGCCAAATGTGCCAGAGAGGATTTGAACCCCCCGACCTGAGGGTTCTTATATCGTGGATGCCAACCAACAGATCGGGGCACACCACACTATATATATATATACCCATATTGTTATAAATACCTATATTTTCTTTAACCTTGAGACTAGTGCTGTCAAAAAAAATCATTGTTTGCGAACAATTTATGTTTGGTTTGCGAGAGAGTTCGTGTTCGATTCGTTCAATAAGCAAACGAGACGAACACGAACAATTTTTTTCGTTCGATTTGTTAAACGAACCAAACACGAACAATGATGTGTTCGTTCATGTTCGATTCGTTATTATTCAAAATATAAAATAATTTAAAATAGTTATATATAAAAAATTTAAGATATTTTAAAAATAATTATTTATTATAAAAATTTATCATATTTTAAATAATTAAATCCTATAAATTATAATATATGATAAATTATTAATAACAATAATAATATATTAGTATGAGTTATATTAATATAAATATTATAATATTTTAGCAATTCAAATATGCAAACAATCTTAAATAATTCAAATAATTCAAACAATTCAAACATTTTGAACCATTTAAATAATTTGAACAATTCATATATTTCGAATAAATCAAACAGATCACGAAAAACACTTTTAACCAACAATTTTAAGGAAGCCTATTTCAAATAAAATTAATTTCAAAAGAACTAAATACATACACGAGTACTTTCCATTCGGGCCCAATTAGCTTACACCCCCTACTTAGATACAAATAATCGGACAAGCGGTGAAAGCACCTAATCCCGCCTTATCAGCCGATCAACACGCGGAAATCGTTGCAACCGCATGTTTTGCATATAGGCTCACCGAGCGGTGAAGCATTGCCTGTGAAATTTTCCCAAGTGAGAAGCAATGCCCGGAATTTCGACGAACGGGAGAACGCAGTGGGCCCCACATCGGCGGTAATTTCCACCCTGGAGGTCAAGCATCTCACTTCTCCATTCGTCCCTCCCCCCTTTATTAACGTTTTCTCCGAGGACGATCTGCATACAATCGCTCTGCCTTTTAGCAAAGCCCTCGATCGGTTTTGAGCGGATTAGGTAAACCCTCTGCGCAGGTCTTCTTCCGTCTAAGCAATTGCCGGGATCCTTCTATCTCTGTTTTCTTGGATTTTTTCGTTTATTCTGCGAAATCCAAATGATTTTAGAAAATTCTTTTTTTTTGTTTTGTTTTTGTTTGCTCTGCGTTCTGGAGAGATAGCTGGCTGAAAATATCATTCGGATTATGTTTTGGATTTATGGTTGCAGACGCTATTCGAGAGGATCTATCGGGTTTGGTGATGTCGTTGTTGTGGACTGATCTGCTTTTTCTAGGTTACCCTTCGAAATTTGTTTCGTGATTCTTGGTTTTGGTTCTTGGAGAAAAGTCTTCAAGTTTTGGATCAGATTGATGAATTTTTTTCAAGCATCGTATGGCATGCCTGAGTATATGGAGGAAAAGCTTTTTCCTTTTATATCACCGGTGTGATTTTATGTTCATTTTGCTTTTCTACTGGATTTTTCTGGAACCCTAGAGTATGTGCAACGGAACTGTAAGATAGTATTGGTTGTTGACAGGCTATGGAAGCCTCCGTTTAGGTTGCTGTTGGTTATGGGTTTCTTTTGACGGAGTTAATTATTTGACATGGTCAACTGGGCTATAATTTTTTTTTTTTCATGTTAAGCTACATGTTAAGCTATTGATGATATTTATTGATGATATTGAATCAACTTCTATTTACCACCCATTGAAGGGCAATTTTTTGGAATGCCATGGAAAGGAATCTTGTGATCTCTTTCTTTGCTAATTTTCTGCATCAGTTTGCATGATCTGTAAGGTTAACTATGAACTGAAGCTTGGGATTGATTTCTGTGCACTATGTAAATTCCTTGGGTTTTCCCTTGGTTGAATTATCTTATGGCATACCTATTACAATTTGGTAACTTTTTTTTTTTGCGTGGGAATGTTAGTCAAATAGTTATGGATAAGCCATTTTATTTTCACTCAAGATGACTTGATGACTTTAATCAATAATGTTCAGGTTATTTTGTGTTCATGCCTTCTGCTCCTCAGGTTCTATGTTAAACCCCATGTGCATTTCAAGTTTGATGGTTACATGCTGCAACTTTCATTCTAGAAACTTTTTGGCTAACATTCTTTCATTCTACGATAGCAAAATTTTTTACTAGCATCTTTTATAACATCTTAATTTGTGACTCAATATTATGTATAGAATCAATGGGCAAAAGTGTGAAGTGGCTTAATTTCCATCCTATAATAACTTGGTTTTGGTTGTGAATGCACTTTTGGGAAAGAGAGTATGTTATGGTGTCTTCAATTGCATGTCATGTCGGATTTTATTGGATTTTCATAATTGTTCTATTCTTATAATCATATGTGATAATACCAAGTTTGAATGATTACATATATAGTTATAAATAGGGATCCAATGTAATGTAATGGTCAAATTATGATGTTGAATGAAATGTTGCATGACATGTTCTTTTCCCCTATTAGGTTGTGTGCCTGATTCTTCTCTTGTTTTCCTTCTTCCGTTCTCTTATATCTTTTTACTGCATTTTGTAATGCCTTTACAACTGTCTCATTTTTTTTTACTCTACATCAATTGATATCATAACTGAAGCTTCAAGGAGATCTCTGCAAAGAAGCTTTCATGATCCTCTCTAGCTTCAAGTCTCTTCTCCCTCATCAAGCAGTTCAGTTTTACATCTTTGATTTTTCAAATCAACCCGATGTTTTTGTTGTTGGTCGTCCTTCGACACTTCGCCTTGTTGCACACAAACTTTGCACAACTTTTATGACCACCTTTCTCAATTTTCACTTATTGAAAAATCCTTTCAGCTTTGCTAATCACGTTGCTATGCACATCCAATTGTAGTTTGCACCGCTAACTGCCTCACATTTCGTGCGTCATTGCATCCCCTTGCACTTTCTTGCTTTTCATGTCTCTGGCACTTCGGTTGTAACCTTTCATGCGGTTCAAGCCATTCAAATCTGCATACTATTTATTGACATTTCACTTTCTTGCAATCCCCACATTGCATGCACATGCCGCTGTGAATCTGTGCATCCTGTTCAACATATCTTGTGAATCATTGATCCCATGCGTAGCATGAATTCCTAACACATCATTTATCAGATCTCTCAATGAATGCTTGTACTTAGCAGTATGTGTGATGTCATGATGCTTAGTATAAATCTCCATATAACTTGTATTCTCTCGCTAGCACCGCCCATCACAACTCCTTTACCCACCCATTGCAACACCATCATCCTGCCTTGCAATTCACGGTCCCTTCTCCATGTTCATTTGAATGATTTATGAGCAACGTGCTCATGATTGTCCACTTTGTATCATCCATGATTCACCTGCTACCTCAAGCATTTCACTCGTGAATCTTGTGCAGGCTTTCATCCACAAATCTTGGGAGGCCTAAACCCTAAATTTAGATGCGTGGGAAAAAATTATAAGAATAAAGTTACATGGATCTTCTCAATCTACCCATTGGTTCTACTTCAAAATAAATTCCTCGAAGTTCATGCAGTTGTATTTAACAAATTTTTGAATAAGGAGATCATTTTCTAGCATGATGTTTGTCCCTTTCTTCTCTCTTTATGATAGTTTGCCCACCTGTCTCTTTTTTATGCTTTGTGTTCCCATTCATTTCTTCTTTATGGGGATTTGTTTTTAATGGGATAAATTTTATTACTTACAGTAGAAAATTTTCAGTTCTTCTGCTAGCAACTATCAAATTACTTGGAGTAAAGTTTCTTTGCTCGTGGAAAGATTGATGCAGGAGAAAAAATGGGCCGTGTGTCATGGCTTAGTATTTTTGTTGCGTTGCACTTTGTTATTAGTTTACTTGTAGTGACTATTCTAAGTATCGTGGGCAGTTAACTAATTTATCAATTTAGGATAAATTGTAATGATAAATTTTTTTTTAGCAGGATCTTTATTACAAATAAAGATCCAAGGGTCATGCAATTGTCAAACTACTGAATTGAATGAATCAATGCCAGTTCCTTTTCTATTCTTCCCATTTATCTTTTTCCTTCAATTATTCACAAATTCCATAACTTCCCCACTGTTTCACTTTTCATCAGCCTGTTAACTGATTTACACCTGCCATATTATGGGAGAACAAATATTAGTGACTCTGCGGTGAGGGATACATCTACACAGAGTTATTGGATCATTGACTATCATGACCGGTACAAGATGGTATTTTTGAACAATCTTGCGAAGCCGACTTGATTCACTTCTATTGAGATGTTCAATACTGCTAAGCTCTATTTTGAATCCAATTTTATAATTATGTTTTGTCTTGCTAGTTCATGTTGACCTCATTTTTGGGTCACATGCGGCTTTGGGAGTCGTATGGAGCTTCCGGAAAAGTCCCGGTGCCTTTGAACCCTAAGAAAAAAGCACTGTGCCCCTTTCTGGCCTGGAGTGATCACGCCAGGCCTGGGGCGTGACCACTCCCAGGCGTGGTCACACCTGTATGGGGCGTGAGCACGCTTGTCTGGGGCGTGGCATGGTTACGCCCTCAATTCTGCTGGCTTGGTCATCTCCCAATGGCTATGTCACTGATTTGTAACATTTGTCCACGTATCCTCATTCCGACTGTCCATTTGATCGGACGATTGAAAACATCCGACAACCGTCAACGGTTGTGGAAATCGTCAGAGTAATCCGGGCCGTTGACCTCCCATCTGATTGAAGGCCCAGGACAGCCGTCGCCGCCTCCTGTAAAAGGCGGTTGTTTGTGTCTCCAAGAGGGGATCTGAAATTAAGTCGAAGTGTGCCTCGAAGTATCCTGAACACTTCTAACTCAGAGTGTCTTCCTCCAGGTTTCTCCGGTGAACTTTCTTCTCCTCTGTTGAGCCGTCTCCTTTGTAAGCCTTTCTTCTCCACTTAAGTATTTTAAGCTAAGCTTACGTTTTAAGTGTTTAAGTTTAATAGTAGGTTAGGTTAATTCAGTAGCCTTGGATTAGACTTGGGTTTCAGTTCAGCTCAGACAGACTCGAATCCGACCTAATCCCTAAAATGGTTTAACCCAAACCTAATCTAGGTTTGACCCAACCTAGACCCGACCTTGCTAATGTCTACCTCAACCTAACGTGACTGAACCAACCCAGACCTGACCCAACCTAGACTTTACCCAGCTCAGGTCTAGCCTTGGATTAGGCTTGGGTTTGGGTTCAGCTCAGGCAGACTCGAACCCGACCTAATTCCTAAAATGGTTTAACCCAAACCTAATCCAGGTTTGACCCAACCTAGACCCGACCTTGCTAATGTCTACCTCAACCTAACGTGACTGAACCAACCCAGACCTGACCCAACCTAGACTTTACCCAGCTCAGGTCTAGCCCAAGCTAGCCTAAACCCTAAACCTAAACCTAAACGAGGTCTTACCCAACCTCGACCTGACCCAACATAACCTGAACCCTAAACCTAAACCTAAACCAGGTCTGACCCAAACTAGACTTGACCCAACCTAGCTCAAACCTTAAACCTAACCCAAATCAGACCCTAAACCCAACCCAGACCTGACCCCACCCAGACCTGAACTAACTCAAACCTGATTCAACATAGGCCAAACCCTAAATCAAACCAAACCCAAGCCAGCCTAGGTTAACCCAGCTTAACTCGGGTCAACACAAATCAAACCCTACCAAGTCAACTCGGGTCAACCCAAGTCAAACCTAACCTATTCAGGTTAACCCAAGTCAACCCGGGTCATCCCAAATCAAATCCTAACCTACCCAAGTCAATCCAGCTTGACCTAGGTTAATTCTAAACTCACCCACAACTAACTTAGGTCAACCCAAGTCGATCCAATTTAAAGCTGAACTACCCTGAATCAACCCAAGTTTAATTCAACGCTATAATTAGGTCATTTTATGCATGTTTCCATGTTTTATGTATGTTTTATCATATATTCCTAGTTATGCTTGTTTCGTTACGTCTTTCATGTTTAAAACCAAACAAAAAGCAAAAAAAAAAAAAGTAGATAAATAAACAAAAACAAAGATGGATGCCCCTCTCAAGGTGGTTTTCTTCTCAAACAAAAATATAAAATTAAAAAACCTTCAAACATAAAAAACCTTGATTATCCAACATGACTGACAAGATTTAGGAATTGAAACAAATGATTAATTGAATATTGAACTTCAAATTACAATTAAAATATACCATGATGAACTGAAATAGAACTCATGCTGATCCAACTTGAATCCTGAGTTAGCTAATGTAGCCACCATAACTCAAGGCCATACACTTATCCTAGGTTAATTTGAGTATAGAAGCCTAGGTTAGTTTAGGTATCTAGCTAGAATTAAGGACTAAGATATAAAAAAACCTAAACCTACCCCTTGAGATTAAAGGGAGTACTTTAGAGGGATGTAACCTATGATTACTGACGAAGGTATTTCAAACCTCCTCGAGACTATGAATCTCTTGAATTACGACATTTAAAAGGGATTCCTGGTTATGAGGCTGGTTATAGTTGAAAGATATCAATTTTTTCGAGACGACGGAAAGCCATGTGCATTTTAATTGGGTAAATCTTTCCTAGTGTCTAGTTTAGTCCACCTATTAGGCTTTTTTATAGAGTTTAGGTTTAACTTTCTATCTAGAAACCTTTCCTACCTTACTCTATAGTATAGGGGTTCTGATCAATTCATGTCGATCATTTTAAATATCACCAACTCACCTTGTAAACCCTATCTAATCCGTTCAAAGAGCATTTCAAATCCTTTCAAAACCATCTCCCGAATATTAAACCTACGTTACTGGTAATCAGTTTTCTTGACATTTGAGCTCAAATTCTTTTAATCACTTCATAATTCAACTTATTATATTAATCCAGAGTTTTCTTTAGGGTTCCTGACCTTAAAGATGTAATTAACTACGAGGACGTGCCGTTGTAGGAAGCAAGGACCCAAAATTAAAATAAACCTTATCTTACACTTGTGAGGTAAGGAAAAAAACCCTAGTTCCGTAGATCGAAAGAAGACTTTCTTCATTTGGGTGGTTAGGTCCATTTCTAAGGTAATATTCTCTTATATCTGGATGACATTATTCGGCGGAATGCCGTGCCCGATCATCTGGATAGAATGTCTACTGAAAGACACCATGGTGTTGGTGAACAAAAATTTCCCCACTAGTTCAAAACAGCAATTTTGTCCTTTTTTCCTTAATTGCTCTTTTGTCTTCTTAGCATTATTCACGAGGAGACTCTTTTAGTGGTATATGCTATTATTTTCCATTAAAATTGTGTCACTGTTATACTTCAAATAGGGTTTCGTGGATATTAACAAAACCTTTTTTGTGCCATTGACAAATGAGTAAGCTGGTAAGGAGATTGTGTTTCAATTTGGCTTTGGCGATATTCATGGTTTACCTTTTCTCTTGTTTGTTTCGTTTGGATAGAATTGGAAAACCCATTTCATTGTACCAGCAGCTGCGTATTAATATCCATTAGTGGCTTTAGCATTCAAATAATTTCTAGTTACGTTTTTTTTAATTTAACTGCCTAAATTCACACCCTTACTTGCATTTCTCTTAAGATATACAACATGTCTTAAATGCATGATTCTTTAAGTTGGATCCTCTATTTTTTGTGGAAGCTTACATGAACAGTTGAACTCTAATTTCGAAGTGATGGTTTTTCTGATGTTGATAAGAGTTTCTTTGCAGTTCATCTGAAGCAAGTATTAAGAAGATAAATTATTTTTCTTGAAGATGGCTGGTCCTGATCACGATAAGGTGCTCTTTTCAACTAACAATTTTTTTTAATGCTTTTTGAGTCATGTTTTTGTTTTGAATAATTAATTGCTATTGATCATTTTCTTCCTCTTAAAATGAACAGCTTGGACTTAAACATCATGCTACACACTTTCTAACCATTTCAGCCATACCAATCAAGAAAAGACGTTTCATTTTTCCCAGGTCTCCTTCACCTCCTCCAGAGACACAATCTTCACCAACAGTAGAATGTAACACAACACAAAATAGAAGTTTTTCTTTAGTGCAAGTTCCTTCCTTGGAAGCTAGTGATATTCCTACTAGTTTAGCTGCCTCACGAGATGAAGGTTCATCTGTTGAATCTGGATTCAAAAATTTGGTTAGTGGAGACATAAGTGCAGTTTCTAAACATCCAGACTCTATTGAGCATGACTGTTATGAGAAGTTACAAAGTATGGAAACCATTGTTGTTCAAGGAGAAAATGGATTGAAAGATACTGTTTCTAATGATGAACTTTTCTCCCTGAAAGTAATTGACCAGCATTTAGCACCTGTCGATCATGTTGGCGTGCCAAATCAGGCATCTGCAGCACAAGAAATTTCTGGAAATACTGAACTGCGCTGCAATGGAACTTTTGAGAATGTGCCAAATCAGACATCTGCAGCACAACAAATTTCTTTAAATACTGAACTGCACTGCAATGAAACATTTGAGAATGTGCCAAATCAGACATCTGCAGCACAACAAATTTCTGGAAATACTGAACTGCACTGCAATGAAGCATTTGAGAATGTGCAGATCAGCGATTCACCTTCTGTTAGACAAGCACAGTTGGAGCTGCAAGATCCAAGTTCTTGGAAGGAGACATATGCGCATGATCCTCAGAAGAAAATTTTCACATCTGGGCCCAACACTGATTCTGCTCAGAGTTGTTTGGATAGATCAAACTGGGACTTGAATATGACCATGGATGCTTGGGAAGGATCCATGAATGACTTGGAACCAAACAATGCAGGTGATGGGGAAGACAGGAGTTTGCTTGGCAGAGGACCACAGCCAAACCTTTTGGGTGCAAGTGCAACAAATAAAAAACCTAATGCATCCCCTCCAAGGATTTGTGGGCCTAGGAGTTTGAGTAGTAATTGCTTCCGGAGCCTTTGCACCTCATCAAAATCTGGAGGTGCTTGTTATAACTTTGACACCGAGGCATGCCTAGATTTGCACCTTAAACCATCATTCATGTCTGAATCATACACCACTCGTGAAACCACTTTCACTTTAGGAAATTTTGATTCTTTAAAAGAAACTCAATTTCTTGGTTTATCCACGATGCCTTTATCTTCTTTTGCTGACTCAAAATTTTCTTTATGTGGAGCTGTGAAACCTGAGCCTTATCATGAAAGCATTGAGCTAGAGGAGATGAAAACTGAAATTGCTGGATCAGGAGCTTTTGGCCTAAAACCCATCAAATCAGAACCATGTGAAATTGGAGGAGCCTCCAGGATAACAATTTCTGGAGTTGTTAATTCTGCTTCTGATGCGGCTATGAAACCGGAAACCGTAGAAGACGAATCCCAAGACTCTGTTTCAGCTAAGGAAACAAGATTGCCCCATACAAGTGCACATGATCACAGCTTGCTTCAAAGTGCTAATACGCCTTTGGAGGCTGTTGGTACTGGCACCATTGCTTTAAATACTAAATCTGATTCATTAATTAAGGATGCTATTATGCAGATACCTGGAGATTATTCTCATCTGCATAAATATGAGGCGGTTGGCTTTACCGAGATAGAGCCAGATGAGGTTCATAGTAATGATAAAGTATGCCACAGGACCATGTCTGCTGCTGCTAGCACTGCCCAATCTGAAAAGGGAGTTTTCTGTGAGACAATAAGTTCGGTTGTGGAATCTTTAGTTTATGAAGGCCGGGAGTTGATTTCCTCAAAACAAGCATCTAATGAAGGCACTGAAAATGCTGACTTGCTCATTACATGTGAAATAGAGGGTCAGATTATGAATTTAGTGAGTGAAGCATGTCAACAACCTCACATAGCAGCAGAATCACTGCGTGAATCATTCAATGCTGGTACTTTAAAAGAGAGTTCTATTGATCAAAAGGCCAAAATTGATTCTCATGTGAGCTTTAGTGAAACTGATTCAAAAACTGTAACTGTGGTAGAAACACGTGCTAATTGTGATGTTCTTGAATCTAATCAATCTCAGACTCCATCCATTTGCATGGTGGAAGAGCAGGTCGATAATGAATGTAAGGCTGGCAGTCCACATGTTTTAGATGTGGTTATGCAAGAAGCTCATGAAAAAGGTGGAATTGATGATCATGGTTATGAGGATGGTGAGGTAAAAGATGGAGCATTGCTTTGTGCTAATGTGGATTCTTCTTTCACAGTAAAGATCAAACAGGGTGAAGCTTCTTGTCCAAGAGGTATTGTTGACATTCCTGTGGCAATGTCATCACCACACGAACTTGTGAAGCATTCTATAACAGAAACTTGCATGATGCCCAAGGATCCTAGAACTGTGGACATTGCTAGTACTATTGATCCTGCTCTTGCAGCAGATCTGCAGGAGTCTTCATCAGTGACAGGTGATTCTGATAAAATGAGAACAAGCAGGACGACTAGGAAGACACCACGAGATTCCTTGAAGAGGGATAAGATTTCAGAGCGTAAAACTAGATCTGACAGAGATCCTACTCTAAGAGTTGTCGGTATTGAAAAAAAAGCTGATGGCAGTGGTGTAATAGAGAATGCTGGAGGCCGTGCTAAATCTTTTGTTTCTCCTTCAGCCAATGAAACCATTGAGGAAGCAATTGATAGGGTTCGTACTGGGCGGATAATAAACTTAAATTCAGCTTCATCTAGAAAGATGAAACCTATTCATGAAAGGCCACTTTCATCAAGAGTTAAGAGAGGAAACCCTGCTGAAAAATTTTTCAAAAGGGAAAATTATCATCCTGGTCACATCAGGTCATTCCTTAAGCCTGGAGATCTATTCCTAAATCTCTCCTTTTTAACTAAGTATTTGCTTCTTTTCATGCTTTTATGCCCATTGTTATTTATTTTATTACAGGGATGAAAACCATAGTGAAAAGTTTCGTAAAACTGAAAATGAGAGAAGGGGACTGGCTTGTGGGAACCGCGGATCAGGTTCAATACACTCTAGGGTGAGAGGTGGATCAGATTATTCACCCTTGAAGTTTAGAGATAAACAGCGGTCAAACCAGTTCGTTGATCGGAACTGCGACCCCAACTATATGCAGGAACAAATCAATGGTCATAGTGATTTTCGATATTCGAGAGCCATTAATTCGGCTGCAATTTCTATGGCCTCTGGATCAGATGCTTCAGCTCCTTCTGTTGGTAGGATTTCAAGGAAGATTACGAGTGAGCTACAAACTCGTGGTCAAATGGCTTGCAGAAGGCACTCTCCTGCAGTCCCAGAAGAAATCCAAGTTATGCGACATCCTGCATCTGAAGTTAACCCTAGCAGACGCTTGCAGAGAGATGCACATGATCTTTTGTATGTTACTCAAGAAAAAATGAACAGACCAGTGCCAGGTGAAATGTTGGATACACTTAGACCACGCCCACATTCCCAATTTGAACGTACTGATCGGATTACATCCCATCGTGAAAGAGTAAGCCTTTCGCCTGTGCATCGCAGAGGTCCTCCACAGCTTCCTTCCATGCGTTCACCTAGGTCTCAAGATATGTCACCTTCCCATTGGTCACCCCACAGTCCTTCTGAAGGGTTTAATGGGCAACATTATGCAGAAGAAATTATGGCCAGAAGGCGAGGATCTGCTTATGGGGATAGATTACCTGATGGTATGATGGAAGCTATATCTTCAAGAGAACATAATTTTTCTAGGTCTGGGAGGGAGTTTCCTCGAAAAATTCAGAGGCTGGATATGAATGACCCTAGGCAGGTTCCAGGTGAATGCTACCGCATGCCATTTGGTCACGGTCAAATTCATGAACTTGGTGTGGATGGTGAATATGCTGTTGGAAGGAGATGCAATGAGATGCATGCGCCAGCTCGATATAGGGAACACTGTATTTTAGATGATGATGTTGAAAATTTCTCCTTTCATGGTGAAGAGAGTCCCCCTAGGCCCTACAGGTATCATGCTGAAGGCAATGAAGGATTTAATGAAGGTGGAAATTCAAGGGAATTTGAAGGGCGCTTTAAAAATAGATTAGGTAATACATCAAGAAGGTATAGACACATTGAGGAACAGCAGCAGCATGAAGATGGCTTTAGGCATCAAGAAGGGCAGGGATGGAATGATTCAGGTTTTAATAATATCAGACCAAAGAGGAGGAGATACTAGAGTTATATCCTAGAGCAGTGTTTCGTCACAACTGATTGGCTGTTCCATTTGTAAAATAACTAGAATGCAATAACAACATCATGAATAGTAATTATCCAATATACCCTTGCGAATAGTAGCTTCTACTGATTATCAAAGTTATTGTGCCCAAGATCTAGTAGAAGGTCAAGGAATGAATTTTGCCTTGGGCATTCTGGTTGACATTTTTCTTTTTATTTTTTGCGCCAAACGGATCTACAGTCATCTTCCTAAGTTGCCTGATACTGTAAATTTCTTCTCTCAAGTTACCGTCATATTGGCAATTTTTGACACTGCAGCTACAGCCAATTGACTAGCAACTCACAAGTCTAGGATGATTGTGGAACAACAGTTGGTTTGCGGGGTAAATGATTCATGCTTTATTTATTTCACTTTGCAAAAAAAAAATTATTCTTGTTACAGAATTTTTCTGGGTACCTTTTATTTCTTAAACCTATTAGCCGAAGAACAACAGTTGGTTTGTAGACTCATCCTTCATAAGCACCAAAACTTGCAATATCGTTGGCTTGGAACTATGGGAATGAAGCTCGATAAGTCCTGTATCTCTTTCTTTCACATTCTAGATATAAAGAATGCAATTGGTCAGCGTTTTTCTTTTGGAAGAAAGCAAAATTGATGTTTTTTGGCTCTTTGCTTGCAGTTGCTGGATAAGAATAAAGTTCAATAAATTTTGTATGATGGACAACAGAGTTACTAGAATTTTCTTTTTGGATGGGCTCGACCAACATGAGTCCAAATGCAGCAATGGGCATGCTAAGTGGCTAAACTGTTGAAGGGGTATAAAACAACTTTTGGACTGTAAGTTTGTGCTTAGTTTGAGAGTCACGTCATAGAACTTTCATCAAGGTAGGTTAGGGTTTTGGATTTGATTCGAGTGTTCCACTTGAGCTGTCATTGGTTTTAATATAAACTAGTATCTTTTATTTATGACTGAAGCCACAATCAGTTGGCCTTCCTCTTCCTAGGATAATGAATAGTTTTTTAGAATAAAAATGTTTGATCCCGTCAAATTACTACTGTAATTACAGAGGATCGCATCTAGTTTGCATCACGGCTATATGTATGAATTATTATCATCATCTTTTTGAGACAAACTTCTTAATTTCTTTTAATATTTTCTCTATGTATGACTTGAGAAGCTGAATGCGCATTTGGAGTGTTGTATCTGTGGAACGAGAAGAAACAACTTGTGGATGGATCCCTCATTTTGGATATCCACTCAATATTGGTTTTGGAAGATGGAATTTTAGAGTCTTTTGATTCCTTTCAATCGGATCATAATGGATATGATTGTTTAACGTCTCCCGACAAGCCACATTTTGGCCCAGGTCACATAACATGATTCGATCGAAACAAATCAAAAGGCCTCTCTAATTAATTAAAAAAAATTATTATAATAAATATATGATTTTTTTTTATTTCGAGCTAAAATAAGCCGAAAGGAGTGAACAAAAAATTGTTCGTGTTCGGTTTGTTAATAATTATAGCTTAAAAAGTTTGTTTGTGTTCGACTCATTTATTTAACGAACGAGCCAAAGATGAGCTGCTTATGGAGCCGAACAAGAGTTGTTCGCGAACAAATTTCTTTTTAAATAGCCCTAATGGCTAAGAAGCATGCATGCGTTAAACAAGTACCAAGCCGTCATAAAATTAGAGTGTAAATATTTGAATGGTGAAAGTAACTACCTAAATGATATGGCTTATTAGTTTTTCAATATTTAAAGTGCATAGGAGTATAATTCAAAATTTGTGTAAAAGGGCTTACATAGATAAATGTTTCATCACTTGTTTGACTTTAAATATCATGCTATTTAAGTAAAAAACATATATGGAGATAGATTCTTAAAAATTGAAAGAGTGCCTAGTGTTGGTATTGATCTTGATATTTATTTATGAGGTTAAGGGTTTCTAAGCTCTTAGTGATGCTTCCGTGGAATGATTTTGTTATATGCTCTGCATCAAAATAAATAAAGCTATATTATTAAAAAAACATATTACATATAATATAAAGCTAATTGTTATTATGCTTGTATCAAATACTTAAACATAATATATATTTATTGTTAACTATGAGATGTATACTAATTGATAAAGGCAAATACATTTTAATTTAGAAAAATGTTGAACATCGGCATTAGTCTTGACACTAATACTGTAATAAATGTAAAAAAAAAAAAATTTATAAAAGTGATGGGCTGATTATGTTTAAGATTTTATAAATTTAGGAGATAGAGACATTAGAATTAGAAGTCATGGGAGTAGTTGATGTAGAAGTCTTATTTTTCTTAAAAGGGTTGTTTAGCCTATTGTATAGGAGAGGACTTAAATAGTTCATAAAAATTAATAAAAAATACTCATAGCAAGTCAAAAGGAAATAATATAAATAAATATAAATGATAATGAAATTGTGATTAGCCACTGATATTCTTCTTGAAGCTAATCAAGTAATATTGTTCATCTTAGGAGGCATTTGATTTTCAATGCTTTAAAGTTAATGTTTTGGTAGCTTATATCCTTGTGTAAATCTTGTTAAATAGCATAAATAATGTAGCCTAGTAGTTTATTGAAACCTTTATTGTGGATTAGAAATTAGAAGAGATCATAACAAATATTATAATAAGTGCTTTTTAAATCAAGATGAAAGGTAATGATGTGTAGCTAGGTTCTCTAAATCAATTGATCCAAGTATACATAATTTTTATTTGTGAGGGACATTTAATTAACAGGTTAGCATGATTATATGTTGAGAAGAATATTATTATGTATAGAATACCTAAGGTGATTGTATGTGATCATAAATTATAAGTTTATCTTTAAATTATGTAGAGTAGTACAGTCTGGATTAAATATCATATTAAAATTCATTATAATATTTCAACAATAAATAGATGAAAGTTTGAAAGGTTTATACAAATATTGGTGGCTTTATTATAACTGGGGAGCTTTTTTTTTTGCCTAAAGTATATATGCTTAGTTAATCAGAAGGCACATATATTTTCTCAAAGTTGAACTTGAGATCTTGTATCAATAGATGAAAATAAATAAGGTTGATGTGAATAAAATTATATTTATTACTATTTGAAGCCATTGCAAATTCCATGTGTTGTTATTGAGTATGACTAATGCACTCATGGTGTTCATGGATATGCTAGATCAAGCGTGTTAACTCCTATATAGATCAATTGATAATTATTTTTTAATAGATTTTACCTTAGGGATTATTTGGAACCCTTTTCTATTTTTATTCTTAAAAATCATATTTACTTTGGTTTTTCTAATATAAATCAAATTAATTAAAATAACTTTAGGAGTATATTTTTAATTAAATGAAAATTGATTTGGATAACATATAACCACTAGGTCTTGACCACTGGGTTTTTGTATTTTCTTAATAATGAAGGTTGTTAGATCATGATTAGGACCAATGCTCTGTAGTTAGATTTTGTAAATCTAGTCATCCAAATGTACACAAATTTTATTTGTAAGATAGAAAAAATTAGATTGATAGATTGGCATGATTGTATGTGAAGAAGTTCGACAGATTGTATGAATACCTAAAGTTATTATATATTATCATAAATTGTAAATTTAACTCTAGATTGTGAAGAGATATACACGAATAACTAAAATAAAGAATATGTTTGATTAACTTGAAGGTTCATATATTTTCTCAAAGATAGGCTCGGGGTCTTATATCATTAGATGAAGGTGAAGAAAGATGATTTGAATAAAATTGTATTTTGTACTAATTAAAGCGATTATAAATTTTTGAACTTGGTATTTAGTATTACTATGGCACTCATAATGCCATGAATATGCTAGATCAAGTGTGTTAATTCCAATCTAGATCAATCAATAATAATTTTTTGAAAATTGTACATACGTGGCACACAATTATTATTTATTTACATATCTCACACCTAAATTTTCATATTTACATATATAGTACTTTAGTGTTTTAACCCTATGGATGAATATTTGTGTTTCACTTTTAAAAAGTAGAAATTGTGTTTTTGTTTATATAATATTATCTATTTGAGTGCTGTGTGTGTAAATATGAAAATTTAGGAGTAAGATATGTAAATGCAAAATAATTGAGTGCTATGTATTTTAATGCCCCTTAGTTTTTCTAGATACTATTTTAAGGCTTACTTAAATTTTTTTTCTATTTTTATTTTTAAAAATAATATTTTAGCTGTTTGTTTTTCTTTTAATATAAGTCAAGTTATTTTTAGAAATGCTTAAAATACTATAAGGTTTTTTTAAATAAAAATTATATTGGATAATCGATTAGAATTTATCAGCCATTGTCAATAGTTGTTGGTCATCATCAATTATCACTAGCCACTGCAATTAACCATTGTGTATTTTCAATAATTATATTTTCTTGTTGTCTCCATCAGCCGTTGCCATCGCTTCCAACAACCACCAATCACCACCTTCAATAGTATTGCCACTATTAATGTCATCACTAATATTGGCCATCTCCTCTACCATCACTGATTGCTAGGCATTACCATCATTGGTAGGAACTACCAAACACCAAAAACCTAAGTTTTCTTATGTGACATGATACACCTGAAATGTTATGAAGTAATGACAACCACACAAGTATACATGTTGATCAAGTAATATACGGATTGTAAGCCTGCACATCAATCCTACAAAGAACGAGTTAACTATCAGATTTGGAAAAACTTCGATCTACTAGTTTTTAGTCTAGCTTAAAATTTTTGAATAGTTAGAATCTTTAAGAGTTTCTACTCCTAATTTTCACAAAACTAAAATTCTAAGTTACTCTATTAGAATTTGCATGGTTTTCTATCTAGTGAAAGATTCCCCTAAACTGGATCTTAGAAATTTTGGTTTAACTATGTGATCAAATACGAGTGAGTGGCATCCAGAAACAAAAATACTCCTTATCCCTTCCCGAGTGTCTAAGAAACATTGGAAATCAAATATGTTTAGTCTCCTAAATCAAGTGATTATCCCAAGATCTCGTATTTCTCTACACGGTCACACTAACCTAAAAGCAATATTCTTATTCTCCCAAGTGATTGTAAGTTAACCTAATATGTTCCATTAGCTTGCTCCAACATAACAAGTTCACAAAAAATTTTAACATAATAATTGGTCAAATTTAATGTCAATAAGTTTAAAAGGTTAATCTATCACTTCCATGAAGTTTCAATAGGATCACATTCTACACATTAAACATAGAATACCTTGACTATGAGAAAAAGGTTTCTTCTCACTACTCATTCTTTGTTTAACATAAATCAACAATTTATCTAACAAAATGTAGTAAATACAAAATTTTGAATAAAAGAATTGATTAAGTGCATTGCTCCAATTGGATCTTTCCTTGTTCTCATCACAAGAAAATCACATAAACTAAATTAAAACACCACAAAACTCTTCTCACACAACCTCACTACTTCACACACTTAAAGCACCAAAGACGAATAGCAAAGACAATCAGCGAAGGGGTAAATTCTGAATTGAGTCTATGTAAGCATGACATATCTTCCAAACCTCTTCCTTAATTCCTTTTCATCTTTCATGCCTTCAAATGAAATGATGAAATGAATCCCATGGGTACTAGATCCTATACATATCAGAGGTGATGCATAGGTGTCAGGCTCTCTGTATCCGGGCGGCCAGTGGTGACTGCGTCACTGGGGCACCTAGGTGCCCAATATGGTGA